AACAGGTTGGCCTGTTCAGCCTAAGAGAATGAAGGCTGAGAGGGTATGTGGTTGTTCAGCACAAAGCCATCAGGAGGGTAAACATGAGGAAAACAAAATAGCTATTTAAGATAATGGACAATATTGGCACAAGAACAAATAGGTATAAATTGGCAATGAATTAATTTAGGCTGGGTGCAAATCTAACCGTCAAAGCAGTGAGGTTCTGGAGTAGCCTTACATATTAAAGCTAGGTACAGACAGTCAAAAAGCCTGAGACTGAATCGATATAGTCTTTGCAGGTTAGTCTAAGATGCGCAGATTAAATTGAAATAGAAGTGACATTTACCTTTGATTCAGGAAATGCCGCCACATGCCTGCAGTGGCTCAGGCCTGAAGCCGGGGGGTGCTAGAGCACAGCTTTCTGGCTGTGTGTTTACTACTTCTTCCTGCTGCCCTGGAAGTCTCTGGGATTTGCAGTCCAGACTTACAACAGCAGGGCCCTGCAGGGTTGCTCATCACTTCTTCCTGCTTCCAGGTGCCTCTGGGATTTGTAGTCCACAGTTGCAGCCAGCAGTAAATTTGAGCAGGGGAAGGGTTGTTTAACCCCCCTTCCTAGTCCCAGACCCCAGCTGGGGTTTGCCAGGGATGAGAGGTAGTGCCTCCCCCACTCCCTCCTTGCAGACTAGGCTGCATCCCCAGCCAGGCTTGCCCTCCCACCCCCACCCTTTGTCAACCAGTGCTCACTGCTCCAGCCAGGGAGCATAAGGGCAGGTCAGCCCTGCTCCCTGGAGCAGACAGCCCAGTCCAAGGCTGCAAAATGCTGGGATGCTGGAGGACCCTGACTTAACTTGAACCAGGAGGGGATCTGGGACAGAAGTTTCATAAACTGGTTTGACCCAAATCAGTTAAGTCTGATACTACATTCAACCAAGTTTATCTTAAACCAGTTTCAGCCATTTTGAAACAGGTTTATGTGCACTGAGCTTCTGTTCTGTTACAGATTTAAACCAGTTTCTGATCACTTAAACCGGTTTATGTGTTAAGTCGTAACTGCTTTTAAGTTGAAGTGTGATCAGCTTGTGCAAAGAATTGCATGAGTTGTTTGCCTGCGATAGCAGTGAACTGGAGTTGGTAACCCAGGCAACCCCTTCCCCTCCTATGTGTCATTAACTAACCTATGGTTAAAACTTATTTGTCACCTAATGAAAAGCCAGAAGTGTTTAAATACATTTTAGCTTATTGCCTCCTTGCTATCTTGGCTAACTATAACCAGCTGACACATTTTTCAACCCTACTGCCCTTGTCTACATTAAGGCCTCGTCTACACTGCAAAGTCTTGCCAACATAGCTAGATTGGATGGGGGCATGAGAAGACATACACCATAGCTGACAGAGCTGTGCTGGCAAGATCCCCAGTGCAGTCTCAGCTTTGCCAACAGAAAGGTTCTGCTAGCAAAGCTTCTGTCATTCAAGGAAGCTGATGTCTGCACCAGGGGTCCTTGAACTAGGGATCAGACACCATAGGTAAAACGGTGGCAGCTCTTTAGCATGATTTCTGAGGCCCCGGCACTGTTGGCATGGGCCTTTATCTGTCAACAAATGTTATAGCAGCAGACATTAGGGCGTAAAGGACACCATAGGAAAGTCCCCACTGCTGAAGGGACCATGGCAGCTAGCAGAAGTCATGGGAATGTCTGCATGTGCCTTCTGCTGGCTTCTCGGTGGCAGCAGGAGTCTCCAACAAAGGGGCTGCACTTCTGCTGGCAGAAAGGATGGCTTGGCCTCTGCAGAGGAGCTTTGACAGTGGAAGCATTCAACATGTTTCCAGCAGAACTCAACTTCTCCTGTAAAATGTTGTAGTGTATACTAGAGCTCAGTATATTTTCGACCTGGAGGGATGTGGGCAGTGGGGTCCCCCAGGGCTCGGTCCTTGGGCCCGCACTGTTCAACATCTTCATCAGTGTTGATGAGGGGGTAAAAAAAGCACCCTGTTCACATTTGCTGATGACACTAAGATGTGGGGGGATGTGGGCATGCTAGAAGGAAGGAATAGGCTGCAATCGGACCTGGACAGGTTACAAGGATGGGATTCAACACTGACCAGTACAAGGTGCTGCATCTGGGGAGGAACAACCGGCACCGTACCTACAGGTTGGGGAACTCCCTTCTTGTCAGTGCAGAGGCAGAAAAGGATCTTGGAGTCATCGTTGATGCCAAGATGAACATGGGCCGGCAGTGTGGGGATGCAGTCAGGAAGGCCAACCACACCTTGTCATGCATCCACAGATGCATCTCAAGCAGGTCCAAGGAGGTGATCCTCCCCCTCTATGCGGCACTGGTCAGGCTGCAGCTGGAGTACTGCGTCCAGTTCTGGGC